AAATTTGGGGGGGGGGATCTTTTTGAGACAGGGTCTCCCTGTAGCCCCAGCTGTCCTGGAACTCACTATATAGACCAGACTGGCCTCGAACTCACAGAGATCCGCCTGCCTCTGCCTCCCGAGTGCTGTGATTAAAGGCGTGTGCCACAGATACATTTTATGGGAGAAACTGAGGCTGCTTCTCCCTCTGTCCCCTCTGGTACCCAGCTACCCTGCTCTGATCAGCTGTGCTAAACTGTGGCCAGACACCATCAGCTGGTCTCTGGCAACCGAGTGGGGCCACTCCACACCCCCTCAACCATTGCACCATGGTCTGCCCTTTAACAAGCCCTCAGGAAACTTGCTCAGGTCCTGTCCCATCACCACCCGCCTCCCTGCAGGTGCACCTGTCCTCATCACACCCTCGCTCAAGAACCTGCACACCTGCCATTTATTCAAATGCAGTCCTGGCTCTCTAAGCTGGTCCACACCTCCTGTTTCTAGTGCTCCAGTTGCCAGCATCCCACCTGCTTTGCTATCACAGACTCAGCCAGGAAGTATCCCTGGAGTGCCTCAACCTCAGCGCCTTCCCTACCAGATGCACTTGAAGAGAAGGTACCCAGTCCCTCGGACCTACCAGAATCATCTTCTGTCTAGCTGACAGAGCTCATGTCTCCCAAAGTCAAAACAGATCAGCAGGGCACAAATGAGCAATATGGGTTTGTCTCATCAGCTCACATGCTGAACGTAGCTGCTGGCCACCCCTAAGGTCCTGCCAACCCTAAGTTCCTGCCAACCCCCAGCTCACCTCGGACCCGGAGAGTGGCAGAAGATGAGGCACCCTCGGCCTCCGCTGTAAACTGGCCAGCATCCTCCAGTGCCAGGTCCAATATGGTCAGGCTGTGGCTGGTCCCACTCTGCGCCATGACAAATTTCTCACTGGGCTGCAGCTGGGTACCATCCCGGTACCATGTGACTGCTACATCACTGGGGGACACTATGCACTGGAAGGTGGCCTTGCAGCCTTCCTCTGCAACCACAGCACTCAGCCCAGATGTGAACTTGACCACTCGGGGAACTGTGGAAGGAAGTTCATTTGAGAGGCCACAGCGGGGGTTCTGTGGAGACCCCCCAGGCAGACACACAGAAGGTCCTCCTCCCCAGGAAGCCAGTCCAGCTCATCCACTGGTACCTTTGATGGTGAGCAGAGCACTGGTGTGGTCATCACGGCTCTCACACACATACTCTCCTGCATCCTCCTCTCGCAGGCCAGACACAGTCAGCGTGCGCACAGGCCCCTGGGATGTCATCTGGAAGCGCTTGCCCTCCCTTAGCTGAGTGCTTCCACAGCGCCACAGCACCTCAGCCTGCTCAGGGCTCAGCTCACAAACCAGCTTTACCGTACCGCCCAACTCCCCTGTGATGGCCTCCAGAGGCTTGGAGAACTTGGCAGCCACCTCTGCAGGCAGAAGGAGTGGTCAGCCAGTACCCTGTGTGGATGGCCTTGTGTCTTGAGCCCCCACACATACCCTGCTATGGTCTACTGGTCATTGGGGCAGACACAAGGACCCCAGTAGGGACCCCAACTCCTGACCCCCAACCCTTGCTTACCCTCCACCTGGACTGGGAAGTCCTGGCCCTCCGTGCCCACGCGGCAGCTGTAGATTGCACTGTCTAGCAACTGTGCACCTCGAACAGTCAGGGTGTGAGTGTCGCCCAGGCTGGTGATCTCGTGCCGCTTGCTGCGACGAATCTCCACTCCATCCTTGAGCCAGGTCACAGCAGCCACCGATGGTGCAGCCAGTGTAGCAGTCAGGACAACGTCCTCGTGTTCCTTGACCACCAGAGGCTCCCTGCAGCTGGGTCTCCCTGGAACTTGGGGCTTGGGTTCTGGTTCTAGGGGGTGGTGAACCGTCATGAGAGTGAGGACAATACTGGTAGCTGCTGCCTCTCTGTCCAGCTAACAGGGACAAATGTCACCTGAGGTACCAGGAACCAGGCAGGATATCCAGAAAGACCTACTTGGGATGACATGCTGAGTGCCACCAGCTCTATCCCAACAAACTGCTGAGAGCCCAGGAACCCTGGGCTCCAGGAAGGCCTCCGCCCACAAGTCAGCATAGCACAGAGAGTGGGTAGACAACAGCCAAGAGCAAAACTGTTCTGGACTGAAGTCAAGTTGGAAGTCCACAGAGGCAGCCTGAGCACGTGGGGCTTAACAGCTTCTGTACTTAAAGCAGCATGACAACAAAACTCATGAAGAAGATGGAGGTGGACAGAGCAGGAACTGGTACAGGAGAGGTCAGAAACATGTAGGACAGGGGCTCCATCCCTGGACAGTAGGGGATGGTGGGGGAGTAAAAAGAAATATCACACAGTACAGCACACAAGGCTGCCAGAACTGGACAAGGAACCCTTGTTCCTCTGAGTGATCAGCTACATCACTGCCTGAACACAATGACACCCACCTGCGACGTCCAGGCGGAAGGAGACCCTCTGTCCCCCGGCCTCACAGCTGTACTCCCCGGCATCAGCCTTGCCCGCCTGCTGCACCACCAGCCTCCTCGTGCAGCCCGAGGCCTCCACTCGCACCTTCGAGCTCGAGCTCAGCTTCTTCCCGTCCTTGAGCCACGTCACCTCTGTCTGGGCCTGGGCCACCTCGCAGCTCAGGGTGGCGC